AGCCATGGGGCCTCGATGAATAGGGAAGGGGTACCCCACACAGCCCCGAGTGGCAGAGGTATCTAATCCTTCAGGCTTCTGCTTCCTGTTCGAGGAGTCCATGCTCTATAGCAGCTGGTAGGGGGTTCTTGCTAGGAGGGCGGGGGTCACCCTGGGGGCGTCCAGGGTCTCAGCTGCCCTTCTTCAGTCTGAAGAGCTCCTCTTTCCATGTTCCCTTCAGAGCATGCACTCCGTGTCTCAGCCTGGCTCCCTCCCTGAGTCGCTGGGATTTATTTCAGGAGATGTTTCGCCCACTCTGCCTGACGTCTGTGAGAAGCTGGGTGCTTAGGGAGTCCTCACCATCTGCCCACCTCCACCATCAGCCAGGCATCCCCCAGGAGGTTGAATTCCCAGACCAGGAAAGTCAGCCCAAGCTCACTCCCATGCCTTCGAATCCTCTGGCAAGTGGCTGGAGATTTTCTTATCTCCCCAGAAGTGAGGGCACTATAACATCTACCCCTCACATATACACCCTTTGGCCTGAAAAGGCCTTGAAATCCGGGGATGGAGGATGAGGAGGCTGAATTAAAGTTACTTCCCTCCCCAAACCCTTTCGATGCACATTTTTGGCCGCATCTAGGAAAACTTGAAATACATATACCCTTTGACACAATGATTACATGTCTAGGAATATATCTTATAAGAAATATGTGCAAGGAGGTCTGTTGCTGTGGACACATTGTGAATTTAACAGGGGATTTAATTAAGAAACGATAGCATATTCAGACAGTGAAATCTCATGTGGTCATCAAAAAGAACAAGAAGGGATCCCTGGGTGGCGCAGCAGTTTGGTGCCTGCCTTTGGCCCAGGGCGCGATCCTGGAGACCCAGGATCGAATCCCACGTCGGGCTCCCGGTGCATGGAGCCTGCTTCTCCCTCTGCCTGTGTCTCTGCCCCCCTCTCTCTCTCTCTCTCTGTGATTATCATAAATAAATGAAAAATTAAAAAATATATATATCTTTAAAAAAAAAAAAAAAGAACAAGAAAAACCCATATGTCCCAACATTGAATAATGCCCAAGATATAAATGAGAAAAGCAAAACTGTACCACAATATGCCTCATATAATTCCGTGTGTTGGATACTAATACATGCCTCTTTTGTATATGTGGAGAAAAAAATATCTGAGAGATTATATATAAAACCTGTCCCCGGGCAGCCCGGGTGGCTCAGCGGTTTAGCACCGCCTTCAGCCCGGGGTGTGATCCTGGAGACCCGGGATCGAGTCCCATGTCGGGCTCCCTGCATGGAGCCTGCTTCTCCCTCTGCCTGTGTCTCTGCCTCTCTCTCTCTCTCTCTCTCTCTCTCTCTCATGAATAAATAAAAATATTAAAAAAAAAACTGTCCCCAGTGTTTAGCTAATTCTGAAATTTAGATTAGGCGGTTCTCCATTTTCTAAGCTTCTATACAGAAAGATCTGTTACTTTTGTAATCAAGGCAGGGGAGAGGAGGAATCGTTTTTTAAAAAAGTTTTTTTTTGTAAAGGAAGGAAGAACAAATCCCATCCTCTGGTTTAGGCAAGGGAGGAGGTCCCATGACATCCACCCACAAACTCCCCAGTTGATGGCCTTGGAAGTGATGTGTGGCTACAGACTGCCCACACTTTATAGCCCGGTGCTGGCCTGGGCCTCCCTTACTGCCTTCACTCCATCCACTGCAACTGGCCTCCATTTTAAAAAAGGCCTGTTTTGGAGAACACACTGTCCCATTCACCTCTGGTGCCTCAGTGGAAGTGTGTGCTTCCCAGGGCCCCATCTCAAGCAAGACTTGGGGTGACACATGGTCAGTGTGAAAGGAGGGTGGGGATTTCTGGTCAGAATGAAGCCAGAGTTCTGCTGGACTTCAGAGATAAAGCTCCAACTCCTCAGGAAGGGGGATCAGGGGAGCGGAAAGCTGGCCTTTGAACTAATCAGGGAGGGGACACAGGGAGGTCAGAGCTCTGAATTGCTAGACTTGCTGCCCCATCTCCTATCTGTCTGGCCCTGGGAGTACAAAGAGCCAGCCTGGGAGGAAGGATCTGGATGTGCCACTAAGTAGCTATATGTTCCTGGGCAAGTTGCTGCCTCCTCTGGGCCTTAGAGACTTCTTTCCTTCCTCTTTGTTTTATCTCTTCCTGGAGCACATGCAGCATAGGAGGCCTGGAGAGGGCAGAGAAGTTGAGAGACCACTGTCATCTTTGCTTGGGGATGGGCAAGGCACTCAGGGCAAGTGCTAACCATCTGGATTTTACCATCCAGTGTGTGCAAGGAGAGGAGGTGACTGGTGGGGGAAGGGCAGCTTAGAGGGAGCCCAAACTCTGGGCCCATCGATTTCCTTCTACTCCACCCACAGCCTCCTCACTGCCACCCCAGCGCCTAACCACCACTCCGGGCCCCCTGAGACACCCTGCCTCAGCATCTCAACATCCATCTCAGGACCTCAAAGAAATTCTACTTGATAAAGAAGCTGGGACAAAGGAAACTACAGCCTACCTCCAACCCTGATCCCACTCCCATTCCAAGCCTGTGGTCCAGAGCTCAGCATGCAGAATCCCTGGGGCAGGGGTGCCCAGGTGGCTCAGTTGGTTAAGTGTCCAGGTTTTGGCTCAGCTCATGATTTCAGGGTTGTGGGATCAAGCCTCACCTGGGGCTCCATGCTCAGCAGGAAATTGACTTAAAAGATTCTTTCCCTCTGCCCCCTTTTTCTTTAAAGATTTTATTTATTTATTCATAAGAGACACACACACAGAGGCAGAGACACAGGTAGAAGGAGAAGTAGGCTCCATGTGGGGACCCTAATGTGGAACTAGATCCCGGGACTCCAGAATCATGCCCTGAGCCGAAGGCAGAGGCTTTAACTGCTGAGCCACCCAGGTGTCCCTAAATAAATAAATCTTAAAAAAAAAAAAAAAAATCCCTGTGGCAGGATGGACTGAGGCAGTAAGATTATTCCAAAGCTCCTGACCCCCACCCAGCCAGAAAGTAGCTTTCTTATCAGAATCTTCCAGTGCTCCCGTGTTCCCACAACCCCTTCAAAGCAGCTGGCTTCTCCATCTCACTCTCTTGCTACCAACACCTCTTTCCCTTCTCCCCACCAGCTGGTCAGGCCTGAGAGGCATAAGAGCTGGGACATTGGCAGTCTCCTGTGGACCATGGCCCCTGCCCAGGGTTGGAGTCTGGGGGAGCAGAAGACAATTCTAACCAAAGAGGGAGGCTAGGTGGTTGGCAGAGCCAGAACCACGAGTTGGCCCCATGGAGGTGTCTCTACTGGGGGAGAGTGGGGGCTTTTCTTCCAAATCTAGAGATGGATTTCAGTCCCCCAGGTGACAGGAAATGGAGAAAACATGTCTTTGGAGACTCTGAGACAAAACAACATTATTGGGGTGGATTGAGTAGGAAACATCTCCCAGCAGGACAGAGGTCCTTCTAGCCAAGTCCTCCCCAGCCTATTCCTTAGCAGAAGAGGACTCTGCCCTGAAGACTGAGTGAGATGAGTCACAGGCGTGTGTAGAGGGGGGCCAGGTAGCACGTGTCCCAAGCAGAACCAGCCCAGCAGCTCTATCGAGCAGGCCCTGCGCTGACGCACACTTGGGCACCCTTCCGGATCCGTGCATACCCACCCGCATCCTGCCAGCCATGAAGGGAGACAAATCTGAACTGGCCCAGATTCCACAGCAAAACTCTGCTTCTGCTGGCCCTGGCCAAAAAAAAGTAAGTTCCTTAGCAATCCTCCAGAATAGGGTTGCCAAGCACCTTCTCTCCCTCCCCAGATCCCTTATTTGATTCTGAAGCAAAGACTCTAAACCTGCTCTGGAGTCCATGTTTGCACAAAGGGTAAGGGTGGGACTGGGGGCAGAGGGCTGGAAAGAATTGTGCTTGGTTTTTACCCACTACTCCCACCCAGATTAGGAGGTTCTGATTGTTTATTATCTCAGACTCAGCTGGCCCCGGGTGTTGGCGGAGGGGGCAGACTTGAAAGTCCCGGCAGAGGCCCTCTGGACCTCACAACATTAGCATTTTATTCTTTTTCTTTTTTTTTTTTAAGATTTTATTTATTTATCTCAGAGAGACAGCAGGAGCATGAACAGGCCAAGGGGCAAATGGAGAAGGAGAAGCTGACTCCCTGATGAGCAGGGAGCCTGATTCGAAGTGTCACGGGATGGTGGAAGGGGGTCGTTGTGGGGCATTGTGGGGCTCCATCCCAGGACCTGAGGTCATGACCTGAGCCAAAGGCAAACACTTAACCCACTTAACTGACTGAGCCACCCAGCCACCGCTAGCATTTGATTCTTTTCACCGTTATTGGTGGTCTACACCTTCCCCCTGTTCCCCTGGATATGCTCCCACCAGGCACAAACCTCAACTTCTACTACAGCCTCTCTCATGGGAACAGCCACCATTCCCAGAGCTGGGCAACTCACAGCTTAGTCACAGGGCCGGGCTGGCTCAATCCAGCCAGGCCTCCCTAGCACCAGCGGCTGCAGCCACTGAGGTACAGTCAGCAGGATTGAGCACACAGAGATGGCTGAAAGCCAGGAAGAAATTACTTTCCATTCTCACAGGATCCCCCAAGGTGGAAAAAAAAAAAAACAGATCAGCCCGAGTGCTGAGAAGTGGGGGACGATGAGAACAGAATGGCTCCTTGAGGACTTACCTCTACAAACCTAGGAAGTGTCCCCAAGGACCAGCTGGTATGAGGGGCAAGCAAGAGCTAGGAGATGAGAGGAAGGGAGGAAAGCAGGAGAAATGAGTGACACACACACACACACACACACACACACACACAAAACCCCTGCAGAAATCAGGTAACAGCAGGGGAGGGGGGCAGTTTCAACACCATCTATAATCTCCACCAGTCATCCCATAAAGAATGTTTCCTTTGCAAACTTGGCTTCAAGATAAGCACCCCCCTCCCCATTCCTGCCACCTATATAGAAATCTGGGACTACTCCTGTGGTTAGGTAAGAAGATGCCAGACCAAGGTCAGAGCTACATCATCAGTCTTTAATAACTTATAGGCAAATGCTAAAAAATAGTTAAGAGTACAGAGGACACACACGGTTTATAAAAACGGTTGTGGATCTACAAACGTGGGGAGGGGTTCTTGGCACTTTCACAGAGACACAAAAATAAAGACTATTGTGACTAGCATCCCTAGAAAAGCAGCCTGGGGAGACACCCCAGTTGGGGGAGTGGACACAGGGTGGGGGATAATCCTCATTCATCCCAAATGCATTCTCCAAACAACCTTCTTTTGCCCCCAAACACATTTAATCAATAAACCAGAGAAGAAAAAGAAGAAACAGGGTCGAGGTAGAGTCACAGCTTACATTTAAGCCTCCCCAGTCCTGCAGCCCCCATTTCTCCAGAGGTGAGGATGAGAGAGAGAGAAGACACCCCATCTCCCCCACCCCTCCCCAATGCTGCACCAGAACAGGACTCCCAGAGTGCTCCTTGGTCCTTCATTGAGGTGGGAAGGTCCTGCACCCCAGAGCTGAATGAGGGGCCACAGGCTCCGCCTGGCTGTCCAAGTGTGCAGACCCCTACTGGTGAGGAGGGGACAGCCTCGGGTCACCGTCTCTTCTTGCCCACCCGGGCTGCCTTCTTCCTCTTGAGGATCATCTCATACAGGCGCTCCAGGCCCGGCTGCAAGCCCAGCCCATCCACAGCACTGCAGCCCTGCACGTGGGTGAGGGTGGCTGCTGCAAGCTCCCGGACTGCAAGCCTCTTCTCAACCTCTGCTGCGCTCAGTGCCCCAGGCTGATCCTGCTTGTTGGCCAGCACCAGCACAGGCACACCCTGGTTGTCCGAAGCCCGACTGATTCGGTGTAGCTCCACTTTGGCCTCCTCCAGGCGCTCAGCCTCGGCAGCATCCACCACAAACACCAGCCCGTCTGTCCGCCGTGTGTAGGAGCGCCACAGTGGTCGCAGCTTCTCTTGCCCCCCGACATCCCACACTTGGAAGGTGATGCCACGGGACCCTCCCAGGGGCACCCGGATCTTCTCTGTGTTGAAGCCTTTGGTGGGGACGCTCTGGACAAACTCCTTGAACTTGAGGCGGTAAAGGAGCGAGGTCTTTCCCGCAGAGTCCAGCCCAATGACCACAACATGCAGGGCCTGGAAGTGGGGCAAGAAAGAGGAGGCAGTGGGCGCCATCTCAGTCAAGTGGTTCCCCATGATGAGCTCCAGCTAAGGTGCAGGTCTTGGGGCACTCAGTAGAGGCAGGGAGGTAGCCTTGAACTGCAGGCTCTGGGGACCACAGCTGGGTGATCTGAACAGGGAAAGGTCATGGGAGAAAAAAAGGAGACGTTTAATAAACATGAAATGTGCAACTTCTAGATCCTTTCCTAAATCAGTCGTCCATCCTTCCAAACCAGAATTCTGGGTTTTGTTTTGTTTTGTTTTAAACAGCTCCAAGTGTTTTTTAAACCACTCCAACAGTTTCCAGGAGGGACAAGACCTAGAGAGAGACCCCCGGGTCCCGGACACAGGTTGGGAGGTGAGGCCTCTATCTGCAGATGGTCGGCTTCCCGCGCCTCTTCTCCGAGCTCGTGGCGTGGTAGCAGATGCAGAGACACTTATGCCCCACGCAAGAATCCGTGGCGGGGGCAGACTGGGCAGTGCCCCCAAATTAGAGATAGGGTATGGGCGCTGAGACCTAAGAGAGCGTAAGGCCCGCTCCCTCCCACGCTCCGCATCCCCAGGCGACTGGCACGCCCCTCCTTAACACCGCGACCCCCTTCCACCGTCCCCCCTTCCACCATCCCGTGACACTTCGCCCTACCGGGATCGCGGACGCCAGCTCCCCGGGTCCCGCACGGGGCCACCTCAGCACCGCCTGTACAGCCCCTTTACCTTCCGGCAGCCGCACTCTCCCCGCGTCCCCCCGAGCCAGCCACTCGAGCCTCCACTTGAAACTCCACGCCCGCCGCCGGCGCGTCCCCGCCGCCGCCACTGCTGCCTCTGCGGAGTGGTCCCGGGGACTCGGCTTTAAAAAGCCGTGCGTGACGTCACGCAACGCGAGCCAATCAGAGTCCCGCGGCGGCGAGGAGGGGCGGGGAGGGGCGGGGCCTGGAGATACGTGCCCCGACACCCGGACAACCCCATGGATGGACCTCTGCTCAATTGGTGACCGTTTTATTTGACCTTTTCTACCACATTTGGAGGTAAACTCGGGATGGAAAGTGGGAGGGACAGACGTGGCAGCGTTTTCCTTGGAAGGAGAGGTGAAGAGCTTCATACTCTACACCGCGGCATCCTCCTCCCTCCCCGCCAGAGATAGCCCCTCCCCCGCCCCCTCGCACCGACACCGCCTCCGCCAGGGTCTACTGGACAGATGCTGACAAATCTTACTCCTTTATCTTTCCTGAGTCAGTGTTCAAACCTGTGTAAAACCTGGAACCTCATGAAACAGCCTAAGCCTGAGCCCATTGCTCCTCACAGCAGCCTGAGCTAGGGACTGGTGCTGTCTGTATTCTACAGGGAAGGAGAGCTCTGAAGGGTTCAAATTACTTGCCTAAGGTCACCTAGCCAGAAAGTGGGTGAGCAAAGCAAGGATCTGTCTGAATCTGGTGTCTGTCCTCTCTCATGGGCGGGGGGCGGGGGTGGTTGCTAGGTACGGGGCCAGGGGCCACAGGGCTAGGCGTTCTCAGCAGAAATCCCACAATGAAAAAAAAAAAAAAAAGAAAAAGAAATCCCTCAATGGCCGGTTAGAGGGCTGGCCAGAAGCAGACACCCCAAGGGCCTCCCTTGTTCAGATAGATAAAAAGATAGTTGTTCACTCCACAGGACTTTGTCCTCATTCATACTGTGTGCTCTGCCAGAGAGACTCTGGGGATATAGAAAATGTGTAGGCCACAGGGCCTGGCCTCAGAATGCTTAAACTCTAGTGAAAAAAAAAAAAAAAAAAACAAGACTGGGTTGCCAGTGTGGCTCAGATGGTTAAACATCTGCCTTCAGCTGAGGTCATGATCTCAGAGTCCTGGGATTGAACCCCACATCAGATTCGTAGCTCAGTGGAGAGTCTGCTTCTCCTCCCTCTTCATCTCTCCATGCTCATTCATTCACTCACTCTCTCTCTCTCTCCCCCTCCATATCCCTTTGTCTCAAGTGAATACATAAAATCTTAGAAAAGGAAAAAACAAGACTGATCACTAACAGGGAACACCAGGCCTTTGTAAATCTGAGATAAGTCCTTGTAGGTCTTCAGAAGAGGGGAAAAGAGTGTGAACTGGAAGGTTCTGGAAAAGTTTCTATAAGTTAATGAGTCCTGTATAGGATTGATTGGGAGAGGGACAGGACTGAGTGGCATCTCCCCAGCAATTGCAGCCTGATACAGTCTAGATAGCCCTGAAGAGGAGGAGATGTCACAAAGGGACAGTGTGACCAAAAGGATATCAGTGATTACCTGCAGAGAGGTAAGTAAAATTGAAGGAGGGGAGGAAAATCAAAGGAGAATAAGATCATAACTCTCATATTTCCATTTTTACAAGGATGTTGGATTCTTACATTTATTGTGTAATTCAGTATTAACCTTTCTTAAAGGTTATATTTGAGGGGGATCAGAAAAAAGAGTAGGAAAGTCACTGCTAGACAGAAGGGCCTAACCCTTTCCTGCCCAGCTCCTGCCCTCTCATCTGTTTAGCACCAGCCTGCCTTGCCACCTCCTTCTTCCCCTCCCTCCTACAAAACCAACGACCTGGTTTCCCCAGTAATGCAGGGAGCCCCCCTGAATCCCTGAAGACATCAAGACCTTAGGAAATTAGTGTTACACTCCATGTTGGGGGGTGGCAGATTGCCAGAGGATCTAAGACATAGAGGTGGCCTGTGTTAGGAGAGGGGAAGACAGAGCAGGCCACAAAGTTGGAAACCACTACAGCACTGCCTTGTTGAGGGGCCACTGCATGCTAGGCCCTGGCCTGAGGACTCTACATACTTTTGATTTTTTTTTTCATTTTGATTTTTTTTCATTTTAATTTTTTTTAAGTATGCTGCATGCCCAAGTGGGGCCTGAACTCACAACCCCGAAATCAAGACCCGCATGTTCCACCAACTGAGCCAGCCAAGCACTCCATACTTTTCCTCTTTAATATGTAATTCAACCCCAGAAGTAAGTATGGTTATTCCAAAAAGAAGAAACAGAAGCACTGAAAGGTTAGGTAATTTGTCCAAAGTCACTCTGCTAGAAATTGGCCAAACTTGGCTTTAAGCAAATGTTACAGTGGCTATGAAACTGAAAACACACAGAAATGAAAAATACAGACTGTCTCAAGTTTTCTTCTGCACCTTTGAAACTTCTTGAACATTTCTCCTTTATCTCCTGGGCCTCACGACCAAGAGGGAAATTGTTACCAGATAAAAGTGATAAAACTGCTGATCCCACCCCACCCTTCATCTTTCTGGTTTGCCAGAGGTGTTGATGAACAAATGGAGAGGAGGTGGTGGGGCAGGGAGAGGTGAAGGAAGGGGCCCAGCTTGTCAGGGCAGCACTAGGCTACGTACTTAACCGCAGTTTGTCCCCTTTAAATGGGATCTCCAGATCCCCACACACACACCCTGTCCCCAGGGAGCCTTCCTCCATTACGGACCATATTCCTTCCTGGCAGCCTCACCTCTGCAGCCCTTTCTCTTCACAGGATTGCCTGTGTTGAGGGATTCACTGCAGAGAACATTTGAGCATTTGTACATTGAACAATCCTATGGGGAGTACCTGCTAGGTTCTGAAGCATACAGCCAGGAGTGAGGTGATTAAGGATCTGCCCTCCTGGGGTGTACATGCTAGTGGGGAGAGACAAGTAATAAATGAAGATCGGGGGCACCTGGGTGGTTCAGTGGTTGAGTATCTGCCTTTGGTTCAGGTTGTGATCCCAGGGTCCTCGGATCAAGTCCCACATCAGGCTCCCTACAGGGAGCCTGCTTCTCCCTCTGCCTAAGTCTCTGCCTCTCTGTCTCTCTCTCTCTCTCATGAATGAATAAATAAAATCTTTAAAAAAATAAATAAAGAAGATCATTTCAGATGCCATCAAGGGAAATAACACAGGGAAATGTGCTGGAAAGAAACTCAAAAAAGGACCTACTTCAGACTGGGGGGAGCAGGATACTCAGGAAGGCCTCTCCAATAGGTGACATTAGAGCCAACGTTGAAATGACAGAGTTGGATAAGCATTCAAAACAGAATGATAGGGATCCCTGGGTGGCGCAGCGGTTTGGCGCCTGCCCTTGGCCCGGGGCGCGATCCTGGAGACCCAGGATCGAATCCCACGTCGGGCTTCCGGTGCATGGAGCCTGCTTCTCCCTCTGCCTGTGTCTCTGCCTCTCTCTCTCTCTCTCTGTGGCTATCATAAATAAATAAAAACTTTAAAAAAAAAACAGAATGATAGACTAGCTGGGACCTACCCACTTCCTTCTATGGGCTCCTCCACCCGTATGAGATTCAAGCTTCTATGTCATCGTTCTTCCTCAGAGCTGTCTCTTACCATACTAAGCCCTGAGCCCAGAAGCTGGTTCCTGTCATCTATAGTATCTATAGCTCCAAGGTGCCCAGCGCTGTGCAGGGTACACAAGAGGCAGGTAGAAAATCTTGCATGAATTCATGGAGGTATGACCAAATCATTAAATGTATTGAGGGGTATCCCTGAGTGTGAGAACCGAACATCAACCCTTAGCCTGGAAATTTCCTGGTCGGGGCTTCCTGAGCCCTTGGAGGTTCTGTTTGATATTGGGTTAGCCAGGAATGCCTATAAAACCCTGCATTTCTGGGCAAAGTCTGGTTAGTATTGAACTCTCAGATCTTTACTGAGGATGAGGGACTTCTTAGAGGAAGAAATACAGAGGCCAGGAGTGGGGATGACCCTGAAGAGAGAGGCCACCCTCAAGGCCTGGTACGCTGAAACCCTGGGCTGAGAGTCATGGCGAATCCTGTCCCCCTCACCAGTAGATGGCTTGGAAAAGTCACACACACACACACACACACACACACACACACACACACACACCTCCAGGGCTGAAGTGATTCCAGGTCCCTTCCCCCACCAACAGTCCATACTCAGGAATAGCTGAGGATAGAGAATGAAGTAACTCACCCAGGAAGTAGCTGAGGACATCCTTGTCTCCACACTACCCTAACCCAGTATCTGTCTCAGTGCACAATGCACAGATGCCATCTGCAAAGGAAGGGAGCAGAAGAGTCTGCAGGAGGGAAGCCAAAGAACCAGCTGGCAGCGCAGGAATCACAAAGACCCATTTTCCTTAAGTAAACTCTCCACCCAGTGTGGGACTGGGACTCACAACCCGAGATCAAGAGTCACATGCTCTACAACTGAGTCGGCCAGGTGTCCCACAAAAACCCACTTTTCTTTTTCTTTTTTTAATTTTTTTAAGATTTTTTTTTTTAAGATTTTATTTACTTATTCATGAGAGAGACAGAGAGAGGCAGAGACAGGCAGAGAGAGAATCAGGCTCCATGTAGGAGCCCGATGTGGGACTCCATCCCAGGACTCCAGGATCATGCCCTGGGCCAAAGGCAGACACTCAACAGCTGAGCCACTCAGGTGTCCTGTTATTTTCCTTTTTTTTTTTTTTTTTTTTTAATTTGAGAACGAGTGAGTGAACAAGGAGAGGGGCAGAGGGAGAGGGAGAGAGAGAATCCTCAAGCAGACTCCCCGCAGAACGCATATCTGGACTTGTGGCTCAATCCCACAGCTCTGAGACCATGACCAGGAGACTATGACCTGAGCTAAAACCAAAAGTTGGCCACTCAACCAACTGAGCCACCCAGGCAGTGCTACCAAGACACATTTTTCAAATCCCAGCTTTATTTCCTCAAGAACAAAATGGAGAAAACACAACCTACCTTTTAGAATGAGTGTGAAAAAACAAAACGTGTTTAAGGGACCCATAGGCACCCTTTTCCCTTCCAGGTTGCCAGATCCAACCCTCCCAGAAACTGGG